TTTTATTAGTACTTCTCATTATCATTTAATACCAATATGTTTTTGAATACACTTTGTGTCGTTTACTTCTTAATTCTCTGATATACATGAACTTTATATGTAAATATCCATAATGGGATCCTTACATTTTTGTTAAAATTTTATTTATTTACATGCTCTCATCCCCTGAAGAAGGAACCACTGCTTTAAGAATAGTATCTTTGCTATTAGTTCACCCTATCTCGAGGAACCTTTGACCAAACCAAAAATTAAATCATTTCTGTTCTTAGGAACTCAGAAAGAGCACTGCAGGTATCTTTGAGGATAGTCAGTTAATAGAACATTCCTATTTTCTGTTTTTTTTTTTTTTGTTTTCAGTCAAACTCGTATACAGAATTTAGAACCTCTAGCTAGCTAGTTTAATTTGCAAAATCCATAGTAGGTACTCAGTAAATATTTTATTGAATAAGATAATGAATAAATCTCATTCCATGGAATACTTTTATGAATATCCTCTTAGAAAAATATAGTAATTTGTGATATAAAATGTATTATTCATTCCTTGCCTTTGTTTTGTTAAGATGTTTGGTGATCTTTTTAAGATCTTTGGTGATTCTATTTCCCAAATAAGGTGCTGTTGTTTTGACTAGATTATTGATTGGCTGTTATGTGCCATATGAGACTTAGAATCACTACCCAAGTTTACATTTTCTAGAAGGTATATAAAAAGGGTATTTTCCTTATTATTTTGAGATATGCACCTTTTAGCAAATGACTTCAGCTGGTATCTCTACTAGCCACATTAAAATAGAGAAATATTTTTCTTTGAACTTTCCTCCTAATATGTACTTTTAAAATAAAATTTAGTGTGCATTTCTGAATTAGACAAAGGAATAATTCATGTGACTAATTTAACACCTGAATCACATTTTAATAACTGTATTCTGAAGAACAAATGCATGAATGAAACAGCATTTAAAAAAAAATAATATTATATAATGTCTATTAAGTGGTTTATAAGTCTAGTTTAATTTTAATAATTTATATATTCATAATTTTATTATAATTATGTAAACACTCAGATATAATAAAGTAAGAAGCAAGTAAAGTCACACCATCTGTAAGGCTCATCTGTAAGACTATTTTCCTATTATTACTACTTAATGGAAAGAGACATTGATAAGAATTATTATAGAAAACCTAAACTTGTTAATATTGAACATTTTACAGTGAATCCGAAACTATAGCATCCAGTGCTTTGATTAATTAGTACGCCTAGTGCAGAGCTTGGCACATGATGAGTGATTTATAGAATTTAGGAGATGTCTATTGGGTCTTAATCTTGGTTTTAATAATGTAGTTTCTGTTTGAGAATTAAGGAAGACATTGGGTATATATTCTATGATTAATGGTAGTTGTTAAAAATGCCACGTTTTTAAAAAAAATGCTAAAATTGTCCGGCGCTGCGGCTCAATAGGCTAATCTTCCGCCTGCGGCGCCGGCACACCAGGTTCTAGTCCCAGTCCTCTTCCAGTCCAGCTCTCTGCTATGGCCCGGGAGGGCAGTGGAGGATGGCCCAAGTCCTTGGGCCCTGCACCTGCATGGGAGACCAGGAGAAGCACCTGGCTCCTGGCTTCGGATCAGCGCAGTGCGCCAGCCGCAGCATGCCGGCCGCAGCGGCCATTGGAGGGTGAACCAACAGCAAAGGAAGACCTTTCTCTCTGTCTCTCTCTCTCACTGTCCACTCTGCCTGTCAAAAAAATGCTAAAATAGTAAAAGTACTAATAAAAATAAATATCCCATTAATTCAATGGAATCATTTTGAAATTAATAAGAAAAGTTGAATGTCCTATTGTATTAATTTTTACTTCTTGGTCCATCTTTCTACTTAAGAGTTTTTAATGATTCTAGCACAGAACTACAATGATTCCTAAAACATTGAGCTTATATTTAACAATTTTAAAGAAATTCATTGCAAGTGTGCTGAGGATGAGCCTGGCTTCAATGAAGAATAATTTTCAGATAGCTATTATTGAACTCTTATATAAAGTATTCATTTTAGTTTAACTGTAAGTTTATTTTGAAATTATGTCTGGCCATGAATCTCTTCTAGTATGATCTTTAAATATCTTATAATTATTTTATTAAAAATTTCTAATATATTCTGTTATAATTCTCTGTGAGCCCTTTAGTCTTTTTTTTTCTTTTTGTGAGGCAATAAACTCCCCATCTAATGGTTCACCCCTAAAATGGCCACATTGGCTTGGGAATGTAGGAGTAGACCAGGAAAAAGCTAGGACCTAGGAACTTAATCCAGGTCTGCCATTTGTGTTGCAGAACCCGATTATGTTAGCCATTCTTCCTGCTTCCAGCATTTCCATTAACAGGAAACTGGAAGTAGGAACCAGAGCTGTGTGTCAGAATTAAGAATTACAATATATGATGTGGGCCTTTTAACTAGTAGGCCAAACACTTGCCCCTTAAGTAATCCCAATAAACATAATTAACTTGTTTATCTATGAAAAGATACCAACATTATTAATTATAATCTTCTATTTGATTAATTTATTTCACATACTTATTATTAGAGATTTTGTAGTTCAAAGAAAGGAAGTCATACATGGATTGATTAACAAATTTACTATGAAAATTCAAGTTGGCATTTAAATTATTCTTGTGTCTTAAAAGATATAAATGGTCTGAATTTTGAAAATGGAGAAACTGAAACACACTGAAGTAGCTATGTCAAAGTCAAATTTAGCAACTTAGATCAACAAGCTTTGAACTGTTGTCAACATTTAGCATCCTGTATATGAAGCATATCTGATTCTGCAGTTGTACTGGAAAAAATCTAAAATAGTATCCTAATTTGTTTACTTTTATTTCATAACCAAAACTGTGCTAATTTTTTTTTGAAAAAAAAATTATTTATCTGAAAGTCAGAATTACAGAGAGAAAGAGACAGAGAGGAGGGAGAGAGAGAGAGAGAGAGAGAGAGAGAATAAGTGAGCTGGGCAGGCTGAAGCCAGAAGCTAGGAGCTTCATCTGGGACTCCTATAAGGGTGGCAGGGGCCCAAACAATTAAACCATCTCCACTGCCTTTCCCAGGCCATTAACAGGGAGCTGGATTGTAAGGGAAGCAGTGGGACTTGAACCAACACCCTTATGGGATGCCAGCATCACAGGTGCCACTTTGCCCTCTATGCCACAACACTGGCCCCTAAATCATGCCACTTTTAAAGCAAGTTTGCAATAACTATAATTTATATATCGTCTAACATTTTACGGAATAAAATTTATTCTGAATATCTCTGTCAGATGACATCATTCTACACTTTTTTTTATCAAGTACCTGCATCTCCAAATGGCACATAGACTGCTTCTTGCTATATAGAAGATTCAAATATTTCCTTAAAATTACTTAATGTCCTGGGCTGGCACCATGGTGCAGTAGGTTAATCCTCTGCCTGTGGCACCAGCATCCCCTATGGGCACCAGTTCTAGTCCCGGATGCTCCTCTTCCAATCCAGCTCTCTGCTATGGCCTGGGAAAGCAGTAGAAGATGGCCCAAGTGCTTGGGCCCCTGCACCCACAAGGGAGACTGGGAAGAAGCACCTGGCTCCTGGCTTCGGATTGGCACAGCTCTGGCCATTGTGGCCATTGTGTAGTGAACCAATGGAAGGATGACCTTTCTGTCTGTCTCTCCCTCTCACTATCTGTAACTCTGCCTCTCAAATAAATAAATAAAATCTTTTTAAAAAGTGTCCTACTATAATATATTTAAACTAGAATGACAAAATAACCATTCCTCCGAGACACATAGAAATGTAGTAAAATAATCAAACTCTATGAGCTATCATTTTGTTGTCTAGTTGAGAGGTAAGAGGTCAAACATTGAATTTGGCTCCTGTCAGAGCATCACGGTTAGTGTCTGGGAAGAAGAGAGGTAAAGAAGCTACCTTTTGCTTTGTGCTTCTGTAGGGGAGACACAGTGCCAGGGCCTCTGCCTTTGTTAATTATTCAATTTAATCACTATAATTTAAACCTATGTTTTCTTTTCCATATTTTATGGGAAGAGAAATTGAATTTAAATAATCTTAAGATTATGCAGCTAACAGGAGAAACCTTTAAGAATAGAATTCAGATCTTTTTCATGCCTACTTATGTGACTATAGTTTTAGAGTTCTTGGTCCTCAACCAGAAAAGATACAAATTCATTCAAATAGACATATGAATAGAGGAACACAAATATTTGAAATTCTTATGTGAAAAAAAATCTCAAGACATTATATGTTTTACTTGAGAAACATGGTTTTTAAGTAATATGAATATATTTTTTGAGTAACAAGAATTGGAACTTTGCAAGTTTGTTTCATGCTTATACCTAATAAAAATTTATCACATATATTATAAGTAGGTTACTGTAATTGTTTAAAGTAGAATTTGAGAAAAACAAAGTAGTGGCTATTTTGTGATTTCTTCAACATTAGTAAGCTTTGCTCTCCCAGTTTTTCATGGTGGAACCCAAAAAGGTTAAACTGTGCTACTTCCAACATAGGTTCTATCTTATATCCTTCCTCCTCTGTGACCTTTGCACTTTATTACACATTAATCCTAAATGCATGGGCTAAGGAATGATATTTTCACTTTAAAAAAATAATCATGTTTTGTGTGTGGAAAATTTTTGTGTTGAAATAGAGAAAAATATTTTAAATATTTTAAATAGGCTTGTGAAAAATTACATGCATGTTAAGAACAAAAAAAGAAATGAAACTAATTACATAGTAAAATTGTGAATTACATAAGCAATTTAAAAAAAAGTACAGTGAGAGGGTTGAATTTATTAAGCGAACCTATTCTGTGAGTTGAAGTATTCTCTTTGTTCTTCTGCTTAAATATTAAAAAATCATTCATGTTTATATGCTATCTTCTTTTAAATTTCATATTTAGATGTTTAACTTTCTATTTGAAACATTATATCATACTTTCTTCAAACTTACTTGCTATTTTGTGTTCTACAGAGCCAAGAAAATGATGAGCTAAGAGATGCCCATGAAAAACGCAAGGAAAGGCTACAGATGTTACAGACCAACTACAGAGCAGTAAAAGAGCAATTAAAACAGTGGGAGGAAGGCAGTGGCATGTGAGTTACCTAGCTCATAAAGACATTTCTCTAAATATTAAATGGAATGGAGTAGCATATATAGGTATTTTAATGGCTTTTGTTTGGTTTTAAAGAAATTATTTAGTAGTTAAATCTTTGTTCTGAATATTTAAATGAAGAATATGACAAATGAAACAGAGAAATATACTAGCCATAGCTGTAGATTTTCCTATCATTTTCAACAATCCTTAGCAATAGGTGATTATGAATTATTGAGTAGGTTTTGAATATCAATAGAATTGCTGAAGTTTATAATTTAAAGCAAAGTAGTTAATATCCATATGATTTATAAACTGCTTTTAAATAAATAAGATACTGTTAAAATATTTTTAACTCTAAAGGTACTTAAATTTTAATGGAAGATAGAAATATGAAATTTACACATATAGCTAACTATCATAAAACTGTTTCAACCTAGTATGCAGTTTGAAGATCTTTACTATCCATCAGTTTGTTTTCCAGCTTATCTGAATGAATTGGCGGTCTCAGTTCAATTGCTCTGAACAGGTGTTCAGATCTTGGTTAGTCGTAAGTGGCTCCCCTGTTAACAGTATCAACAAAGGGCAAAGGACTGAATGAGTACAGAAAATCTACTACCCTCTCATCTTTTGAGATGGATCCTTTAGGGCAGTGTTGATGATACACATTGGTCTGTTCTGTAGAGAAATACTGTTTCTAAATTGGCCAGCACAGCACTTTTAAAAAATAAAAATGTACAGAAAATGAAAATATAAGGGGCATATAGCATCACTTATGCATAATTGTCACATCTAATTTTTTCTTTTGATGAATGGAAAGTATGTAATATTGCTTGTCAGTAAAGTGGTGATGAAGCAATTTGTCCTAGATTTAGCCAGTAACCACTACAGGAGTGCAATCTACTTTCTGACAGATTCACTGCTAATAGTTTGTTTTCAGATCAGGTGTCTATACTATAGTCAGATTGCTTAGCAGAAAATTCTAGACGAGTTGATTTGCCTATAGTCCTTTTTGGAGACTAGTACAATTCTAGAGTGTATGTTTTATTACCACTATATAAGAATGAGTGAGAGAAATAGACCTAAGAATATTATGTGTATGCCTAAAGTTTGTTCTCCATAGTAGCAGTTTAGTGTTAGGAAATTATGATACAGGATTTTAATTTCTACATGCTTTGGTTTTAGGAAATTTAATAAATAGTGAACTTGGATTAAAATTTTGGTCATTAGGTGTTTTTAAGTTTTAAGGAATGTGTAAATTACTTTTTGTTGCATGTATATAAACATGTTAATGAGAAAAGAAACTTCATTTTAAAAATAGGGATGAAATCAGAAAAATGAAGAGAGCAGATCCCCAACAACTTCGACAAGAAGATTCTGATGCTGTATGGAATGAACTGGCATATTTCAAAAGGGAGAACCAAGAACTAATGATTCAAAAGTGAGTTTTTTTTTTTTCAACAACATAGACTTAGATGAACATTTGGGAAGAAATTTTTGTGGCTTCACACTCATTAAAGAAATACCCTATAACATTAGAAAATGAAATAATCTTTTACTTTTCCAATAAAAACCATGAAAAAAGACTACCTTTAAAAATGTGTGTGTGTGTGTGTGTGTGTGTTTTATGCAATAACAAGTTGCACATTTGCTAGCTCTAACAGAAACTGTATAATATGATCTAGGGATTGTGTTAATTAACGTGGCTCTCATCTGTTGGAGGTGTCGCTCTTCATTAGCCTGTATTTTAGACACTGCCGTGCTTCATTTTTGGAATGAGGTGGAGAGGGGATAACCTAGCCAGCCATCCTTGTTTGATCTCCTAGATACATACGCAATGCAGAATGCCTGAGCTCTCTTGGTTCCCTGCCCTGTCCTGCTAATCCCAGCTGAGCTCATTATGGTGTAGCCTTGCTGCTACTCTTGGAGCCAGAGCTGTCCAAGCTAATTACTGGTAGCAGCAGAACTGCCTGTTAAGGGTCTGGTGTGGATCTGCTAACATGGTCCTTGGTAGTGACCTGCAAAAGACACAGGGGAATTGCTTTCTTTCTTGCTGTGCACTGACTGTCCTTTGGGCTTAATGCTGATCCCTTCACATAGGTCTTTTAGCTGCCCTAAGTATAAAACTTGATGAAGGATACTCATATTTTAGAAAACATACAGTTTGCTTGCTTGATCTTATAATTCACAAGCTATTATATTCAGCCTGGCAAAAAGAAAGAACACTTTTTTTTTTGAGACAAAGAGGAGTTATACCAATATAATTAGCCTCTTCTGCTACTTAACTATTTGTTCATTTAGAGTTAATTTTTGATAGACTATACACTTTAAAAAAACCCCGAATATCTTTAGATTGATTGAATTTAGCATCATGTGGCATGATACAATTAAATTGACTGGATTTTCTTTAGCTAGAAATCACAAGCTTCTTTTATATATAAAATTATGACATGTAATTTTTATTATATTTTCCATGTAATGTTTAATTTCTGAAGAAATGACCATATTATATTTAAACATATATGGACACTTACCTGTGAAAGTACAGAATATTCTAATAGTGCCAAATATTTGAAACTGATAATAAAATCTGTTATCTTGAAAATTATTTTATAGAGTACATAGATTTGTCTTAGAAATATTTACTGGTAATTTTACTAGCTTACATAAATGTAGTTCAGAAGCCATGTGTTCACCTATATATGAAGTGTATTAGTATATTCAAAGAATTGTATTCCATCTGTCATCACAATCAATTTTAAAACATTTTCATCACCTCACTCTCTTAAACCCATGTAACTTAACTATCAAAACCCCAGTCATCCCATCTACCATTTCCAGCCCTAGGCAACTACGATTCTGCTTACTGTGTTTTATCAATTTGCTTATTTCGACCACTTTATATAAATGGGATCATACAATATGTGTTCCTTGTGACTAGATGCTTTCAGTTAGCATCATGTTTCTAAGACTCATCCATATTGTAGCATCTATCAACACTTGCTCTGATAATCTTTTATGACCTTCTGTCTCCACAAAAGGAAAGTTACTTTTGTAGAAAATGTAGTGGGTGAGATATCTAATGTAAGTAGCTGAGAAATCTAATTATATCAAGAGAATTCAGGCACATATGAGCTATAAGTAATGTACATTCTTTAATGAAAGAAAAAGTAATGAGGTTTTTTAAAAGAAAGTTTCGGGCCGGCGCCGTGGCTCAATAGGCTAATCCTCCACCTTGCGGTGCCGGCACACCGGGTTCTAGTCCCGGTCGGGGCGCCGGGTTCTGTCCCGGTTGCCCCCCTTCCAGGCCAGGTCTCTGCTATGGCCCGGGAGTGCAGTGGAGGATGGCCCAAGTCCTTGGGCCCTGCACCCGCATGGGAGACCAGGAGAAGCACCTGGCTCCTGGCTTCGGATCAGTGCGGTGCGCCAGCTGCAGCGCACCAGCCGTGTCCGTGTCCGCCATTGTAGGGTAAACCAACAGCAAAGGAAGACCTTTCTCTCTGTCTCTCTCTCTCACTGTCTACTCTGCCTGTCAAGAAAAAAAAAAAAGTTTCAGAACTCAGAATTCTGATCTCTCAGCAGTATTTGTATATTACAAATAGGTCTTCAAATTAAATGCTGAGTCACTGTTAAAGTATGGAACATTTTCCCCTGACATTAGTTTAAATTAATTAATGTGATAGCTGTTTGTAAAATAGTTATTTTTTGGATCAGCTCTAGCTTCCTAAAATGTAATGAAATTTGATTTCAAACAGAATGGTGAAACAGAATGGTGAAGAACTGAGTAAAGCTTAAATTATGTAGTAAAAGTTTCTTGGAGGGTTATTTTGAGAAACATTTATTCAATAAACAAATGTGTCTGAGTTACTGCTGTGTGACAGGCGCCCTGCTTGCTGAATTTTTAAATGAGAACATCAGACAAAACTTCTGCTCTCCAGTAGCTTACATGGAGGCACATTCAGTGTTAAATGTTCTTAATAAGTGTGATCTTAAGAATGAAACTAATGTCAGAAAGTATCATAATATAAAACATGACTTAAAAAAGTCAGTCATTGAAGTTTGTTAATAAGGATAGAAATTTTTAATTTTGTTTTTGTAAATTTATATATAGCACATTGACTTTTTTAGTGTGTACTTTTACAAGTTATAATATATATATACATATATATATATATTTGAGTAGCTACCACCATAACTCAAAATAGTTATATCGTCTCAAATAATTTCCTTGTTCTGCTCCCATGTAGTTAAATACTCTCTCCACCCCTCAACACCTAATAACCACTTACTTGTTCTCCTGTCTAGGACTTTGCCTTTTACTGAATGTTGTATGCACAAAGTCACACAGCCTGTAACTTTTTGAGGCTGGCTTCTTTCACTCAGCATAATGGTTTTCAAATTCATTCAAGTTGGTTCATCCAGTTTCTTCCTTTTCTTGCTAAATATCATTCAATTGTATGGCTATTAACTGTTAATCTAACTGATGAAGGAACAAGTCTTTTCTGATTTTTTTTGTTGCAATTGTGAATGGAGTTTCTATATACAGGTTTTTATTTGAGCATATTTTTATTCATTCTTTATGTTAAATACCTAGGAGTTCTATTACTGGGTCATATGATCAGTATGTGTATAATGGAATAAAAAACTGAGAATTGTTTTCCAGAGTAGCTATACTATTTGCATTTCCACATATTCTGGAGAGTCCAGTTGCTCTGTATCTTTGTCAGGACTGGGTGTTACCGATCTTTTAAAAACCACTCCAAAAGCAGTGTGTTGGTATCCACTTGGGATTTTCATTTGCATTTCTCAAATAGCTAATGGCATTGATCGTCTTTTTTAACATTTATTTTTTACTTGTTTGAAAGGCAAAATGACAGAAAGAGACAGAGAGAGAAACCTTCCATCTGCAGGTTAATTCCCCAGTGGCCTAAGTCAGGAACCAAGAATTGCATCCACGTCTCCCATATGGGAGAGATAATAACAGTCCCCTCAAATTGTTTCCTGTTGTTAAGCTTTATGAATTCTTTATCCGTGCTGAATATAAGTCCTTAGTGAAATATGTGGTTTAAAAATAGTTTCTGCCATCCTGTAGATTACCTTCTTGGTCTCTTGATTTTTAAAAACATGTTAGTTTATTTTTATCTACCTGAAAGCATGACAGACAGAGATGAGAGATCTTCTACCTGCTGTTGATCTCTAAATGCCCACAACATCCAGGGTTGGCTGAATCAGGCCAAACCCAGGAGCCCAGAACTCCATCTGTGTCTCCTATGTGTTATACTTCAGCAATTGTCTGCTGCCTCCCAGGAAGCATTAACAGGAAATCAGATCAGAAGCAGAACAGCTGGAACTTGACTTGCACTCCGATATGGGAAGACTGTCCCCAGCAGAAGCTTAAGCCACTAATCCACTTTACCACAATGCCTGTCCATTAACATTTTTTTTGGCATTCTTTTTCTTTAGTTTTGATGCAATCATACCATCAGTTTTAACCTCTTTTATGCATCATGGCTTGATGTCATATCTAGACTTTTTTCATCACAAGCATCTTATTTCATGTTTTCAAATTATAAAATGTTTCAACATTTTATATTTAGCTCTACGATCCATTTTGAGCTAATTTTTTTTGTAGGAGGTGTGAGTTTAAGGTAAAGTACGTTTTTTTCAAATATATGTTGTATCAATATCATTTTTTTAAACTTTTATTTAATGAATATAAATTTCCAAAGTACAGCTTATGGATTACAGTGGCTTCCCCCCCCATAACGTCCCTCCCACCTGCAACACTCCCCTTTCCTGCTCCCTCTCCCCTTCCATTGACATCAAGATTCATTTTCAATTATCTTTATATACAGAAGATCAGTTTAGCATATATTAAGTAAATATTTCAACAGTTTGCACCCACATAGAAACACAAAGTGAAAAATACTGTTTGAGTACTAGTTACAGCACTAAATCACAATGTACAGCACACTAAGGACAGAGATCCTACATGAGGAGTAAGTGCACAGTGACTCCCGTTGTTGACTTAACAAATTGACACTCAGTAATCACCCTAGGCTCTTGTCATGAGTTGCCAAGGCTATGGAAGCCTTTTGAGTTCACCGACTCTGATCATATTTAGACAAGGTCGTAGTCAGAATGGAAGTTGTCTCCTCCCTTCAGAGAAAGGTACCTCACCTCCTTCTTTGATGACCCGTTCTTTCCACTGGGATCTCACTCAGAGATCTTTCATTTAGGTCTTTTTTTTTTCCCAGAGTGTCTTGGCTTTCCATGCCTGAAATACTCTCATGGGCTTTTCAGCTGGATCCGCATGCCTTAAGGGCTGATTCTGAGGCCAGAGTGCTGTTTAGGACATCTGCCATCCTGTGAGTCTGCTGTGTATCTTCCTTCCCATGTTGGATCGTTCTCTCCCTTTTTGATTCTATTGGTTAGTATTTGCAGACACTAGTCTTGTTTAAGTGATCCCTTTGGTTCTTAGTCCTATCATTATGATCAATTGTGAACAGAAATTGATCACTGGGACTAGTGAGATGGCATTGGTACATGCTATCTTGATGGGCTTGAATTGGAATCCCCTGGTATGTTTCTAACTCTACTGTTTGGGGCAAGTCAGCTTGAGCATGTCCCAAATTGCACATCTCTTCCCTCTCTTATTCCCACTCTTATATTTAACAGTGATCACTTTTAAGTTAAGTTTCAGCACTTAAAAATAACTGTGTATTGATTACAGAATTCAACCAAAAGTATTAAGTAGGACAAAAAAAAAAAAACACTAAGAGGTATAACGTATTAAGTTGTTCATCAACAGTCAGGGTGAGGGCTGATCAAGTCACCGTTTCTCATAGTGTTCATTTCACTTTAACAGGTTTCCTTTTTGGTGCTCAGTTAGTTGTCACCTATCAGGGAGAACAAGTGGTATTTGTCCCTTTGGGATTGGCTTATTTCACTCAGCATAATGTTTTCCAAATTCCTAACAGGGATCACTTTTCAGTTAAATTTAAACACCTAAGAATAATTGTGTGTTCATTACAGAGTTCAACCAATAGTACTAGAACAAAAAACCAAATTGGATAAAGTATTACATTGTACATCAACAGTCAGGACAAGAGCTGATCAAGTCACTGTTTCTCATAGTGTCCATTTCACTTCAACAAGTTTCCCCTTTGGTGCCCAGTTAGTTGTCGCCGATCAGGGAGACCATATGATATTTGTCCCTTTGGGATTAGCTTAATTCACTCAGCATAATGTTTTCCAGATTCTTCCATCTTGTTGCAAATGACCGGGTTTCATTGTTTTTGACTGCTGTATAGTATTCTATAGAGTACATGTCCCATAATTTCTTTATCCAGTCTACTGTTGATGGGCATTTGGGTTGGTTCCAGGTCTTAGCTATTGTGAATTGAGCTGCAATAAACATTAAGGTGCAGACAGCTTTTTTGTTTGCCAATTTAATTTCTTTTGGGTAATTTCCAAGGAGTGGGATGGCTGGGTTGTATGGTAGGGTTATCTTCAGGTTTCTGAGGAATCTCCAGACTGACTTCCATAGTGGCTTAACCAGTTTGCATTCCCACCATCAGTGGGTTAGTGTCCCTTTTCCCCACATCCTCTCCAGCATCTATTGTTGGTAGAATTCTGAATGTGAGCCATTCTAACCGGGGTGAGGTGAAACCTCATTGTGGTTTAGATTTGCATTTCCCTGATTGCTAGTGATCTTGAACATTTTTTCATGTGTCGGTTGGCCATTTGAATTTCCTCTTTTGAAAAATGTCTATTGAGGTCCTTGGGCCGTCTCTTAAGTGGGTTGTTTGTTTTGTTGTTGAGGAGTTTCTTGATTTCTTTGTAGATTCTAGTTATCAACCCTTTATCTGTTGCATAGTTTGCAAATATTTTTCCCATTCTATCAGTTGCCTCTTCACTTTCCTGACTGTTTCTTTTGAAGTACAAAACTTCTCATTTTGATACAATCCCAAATGTTAATTTTGGCTTTGACTGCCTGTGCTTCTGGGTTCTTTTCCAAGAAGCCTTTGCCAGTACCTATATCTTGCAGGGTTTCTCCAATGCTCTCTAATAATTTGATGGATTTGGGTCATAGATTTAAGTCTTTAATCCATGTTGAGTGAATTTTTGTGTAAGGTGAAAGGTAGGGGTCTTGCTTCATGATTCTGCACGTGGAAATCCAGTTTTCCCAGCACCATTTATTGAATAGACTGTCCTTACTCCATGGATTGGTTTTGGATCCTTGATCAAATATGAGTTGGCTGTAGATGTTTGGGTTGATTTCTGGTGTTTCAATTCTGTTCCATTGGTCTATCCATCTGTTTCAGTACCAGTACCATGCTGTTTTGATTACAACTGCCCTGGAGTATGTCCTGAAATCTGGTATTGTGATGCCTCCGGCTTTGTTTTTGTTGTACAAGATTTCTTTAGCTATTCGAGGTCTCCTGTGTCTCCATATGAATTTCAGCATCATTTTTTTCCAGATCTGAGAAGATGGTCTTCGGTATCTTGATTGGTATTGCATTGAATCTATAAATTGCTTTTGGGAGAATGGACATTTTGATGATGTTGATTCTTCCAATCCATGAGCATGGAAAATTTTTCCATTTTTTGGTATCCTCTTCTATTTCTTTCTTTAAGGTTTTGTAATTTTCATCATAGAGATCTTTAACGTCCTTGGTTAAGTTTATTCCAAGGTATTTGATTGTTTTTGTGGCTATTATGAATGGGATTGATCTTAGAAGTTCTTCCTCAGCCGTGGCATTGCCTGTGTATACAAAGGCTGTTGATTTTTGTGCATTGATTTATACCCTGCTACTTTGCCAAAATCTTCTATGAGTTCCAATAGTCTCTTAGTAGAGTTCTTTGGGTCCTGTAAATAAAGAATCATATCATCGGCAAAGAGGGATAGTTTGAGTTCTTCCTTCCCAATTTGTATTCCTTTAATTTCTTTTTCTTGCCTAATAGCTCTGGCTAAAACTTAGAGAACTATATTGAATAGCAGTGGTGAGAGTGGGCATCCCTGTCTGGTACCAGATCTCAAATATATGTTGTATCAATATCATTTTTGTAAAGGCTATGCTTTCTTCAATAAATTATCTTTGTAACTGTCCAATATCAATTAATTATATTTTTATGAATCTATTTTGGGACCCTTTTATTTCATCAATTTACATTCCTAAGCTTTCATGAATCTCATACTGTCTTGATTAGTGTAGTTTTCTAATAAGTATTACCTTTAGCTTATGAGAGTAGACAACTTTACTGTTCTCTTCAAAATTGTTCTGGCTTTTCTGCTTCCTTTGCCTTCCCAAATAAGTTTTAGCTCTAAGAATAGGCTTAAAACACACATACACACACACACATACAGAAATCATGAAACAATTTCAGTTGGAATGCTGCTAAATCTGTAGATCAGTGTGGCAAAATATTAACTATGTTGAATCTACCGTCATATTTTGATTTTACCTTTTTTACTAGTGTTTTGAATTTTCATCTTACAGATTATTTTTGTTGAATATGTTTTTTAGATTTGTTCCAAAGTATTTGATTATTGGAACTGTTTTTTAGTAGTATTTTAATTTTCATTTGGGTTTCTAATTGTACATTGTTAATATCTAGCAATGTTATATTTTCACGTGCCAGCATTTTATCTTGCAATGTTAGACCTAAGTCTATTGTGTTATTATTTATTTTCTGGTTTTTTTTTTCCTGCCCCCCCCTTTTTTTCCTTCCTATAGATTACTTGAACATTTTCAGAATTTTTACTTCATTTACAATTTTTTAGCATGCTGGGTCTTCAAAAACTTTGTGGAAAATGGAATTAAAAGGTGTTTTTTTTTGGTAAATTAGAAATACATTCATATGAGGAATATTCAAAAAAGTCCATGAACATATATATTATGAAAAAATCTATGCATGGATTTCAAAATTTTTTGCACCAAAATAAAATTGTGTTTTAATTTCATGTTCTGAAAGTGTTTTGAAGTACTTTCTTTATTTCCTTGAATAGTGTTATTGGTGTTTGCTCTAGAGATTACATTATACTTATATAATGCATTAACATTCACTAGTAACAACGTTTTACACCTTAAAGTGGAGTGTAGAAACCTCACTTCCATTTGTATCTCTTTATACTTCCCTCTTTTTACTATAATTTCTTAAATACTTTTCTAATTACAGTGAGTATTTCCTCACATGAAATTTTTATTTTGTCTCAATTGTCAAACATAATTTTTAAATACAAAATTTGGATAGCCTATGATATTTACCCATAAATAAATATTTTTAATTTTTTACTGTTTTTTCTTCATTTCTAAATGAAGTATGAAGAACTTGATTTCAGTATGAAGAACTTGATTTCAATATTTTGTCATCAAACTCTGGTTCCTTTGTCTAAAATATCTTAATCTTCAATGCTGAAGGATATTTTCACTAGATATAGAATTCTAGGTTAGTAGTTCTTTTCTTCATCAGTTGAAAAATACACTACTTCCTTCTGTTCTCCATGGATTCTGATGAACATTGCACTGCTTGAATAATTTCTTCTACAGATAATATTTCATTCTTGCTACTCGTTTTCAATCATTCTTCCTTTTTCTTTTTAGAAGTTTGATTATAACATCTTGGTATAGATTTCATTGAGCTTGTCTTATTTGGGATCCTCTTTTCTTCTTGAAACTCTAGGTTTGTACCTTTTTCCAAATTATGGAAATTTGGTCATTACTTATTTAAATATTTTTGAGTCCACATTCCTTCTCTTTATTTTTTCAGGACTCTAAATGAGAGTAATATTAAATCTTTCATTTTGAACCACAGATGCTTGAGACTCTGGTCATTTTATTTTTTAGCCTATTGTAACTCTTTTAGTCAGATTGAGTACTTTCTATTTTTGTGTCCTCAAGTTTACATGTTATCTCTCCTCTCATAGTCATCTCTGCAATTAAGCCCATGCAATAAGTTTTTATTTTGGTTCTTGTAATTTTTAGTTTTTTTGTTTTTTGGTTTTTTGTTTTTTTGTTTTTTTTTTTTTTTGACAAGCAGAGTTAGTGAGAGAGAGAGACAGAGAGAAAGGTCTTCCTTTTCCATTGGTTCACCCCCCAAATGGCCGTCCAAAGCCAGGAGCCAGGTGCTTCCTCCTGGTCTCCCTCCACTGCCTTCCCAGGCCACAGCAGAGACCTGGCTTGGAAGAGGAGCAGCCGGGACAGAACCAGCGCCCCAACTGGGTGCTGGCGCCGCAGGTGGAGGATTAGCCAAGTGAGCCGTGGCGCTGGCATATAATTTTTAGTTTTAAAATTTCCATTTGATTCTTCTTTCTACAGCCTGTTTATTTGCTGAGAGTTGCTATTGTATTTGTTTTATGAGTGTT